TAATACTTCCTTTTTTAGAACAGTTTAGGTTTACAGGAACTGGAGCAGATAGTAGAGAGTTCTCATATCTTCCCCCACCAACACACACAGAATTTCCCCTATTATTAACATTTTGCATTAGTGTGGTACACGTCTTACAATTGATGAACCAATATTGATATATTATTATTAACTAAAGTCCATAGTTTACGTTAAGGTTCACGCTTTGTGTTGTACATTCTGTGGGTTTTGACAGATGTACAATGACAAGTATCTGCCATTACAGTATCATCCAGAATAGTTTCACTGCCCTAAAAATCCCCGTGTTCCACCGATTCATTCCTCCCATCTCCACCTGAGCCCCTGGCAAGCAATGATCTTTGTAGTGTCTCTGTAGTTTTACTTTTTTTCAGAATTTCATACAGTTGAAATCATACAGTGGGTAGCCTTTTCAGACTAGCTTCTTTCACTAAGCAAAATGCATTTAAGTCTCCTCATGTCTTTTTGTGACTTCATAGCTCATTTCTTTTTATCACTGACTAATATTTCATCGTATGGGTGTACCACAGCTTGTTTATCCATTCACCTTTTTTTTTTTTGAGGAAGATTAGCACTGAGCTAACATCTGCTGCCAATCCTCCTCTTTTTGCTGAGGAAGACTGGCCCTGTGCTAACATCCGTGCCCACCTTCCTCTACTTTGTATGTGGGACGCCTGCCACAGCATGGCTTGCCAAGCGATGCCATGTCCGCACCCGGGATCCGAACCGGCGAACCCCGGGCCGCCGAAGCGGAATGTGCACACTTAACCACTGCGCCACCGGGCCAGCCCTATCCATTCACCTTTTAAAGGATGTCTTGGTTGCTTTCAGTTTTGGGCAATTATGAATATAGATGCTATAGGCATGTATCCAAAATCAATGAGTCTTAAAACTCAGCAATAAGAAAACAAACATCCTAATTTAAAAATGGGCAAGAGATCTGAACAGACGCTTCACCAAAGAATATATAGAGATGGCAAATAAGTATATGAAAAGATGCTGAACATCATATGTCATTAAGGAATTGCAAATAAACATGGAATATCTCTTCATTTATTTAGATCTTCTCTGATTTCTTTCATCAACATTTCATAGTTTTCTTCATATAGATCTTGTACATATTTTGTTAGATTTATACCTAAGTACTTCATTTTTTTGGTGCTAATATAAATTGTATTGCGTTTTTAATTTTAAATTTCAGTTGGTCATTGCTGGTCTAGAGGAAAGCAGTTGACTTTTGTATGTTACTCTTGTATCCTGTAACCTTGCTAAAATCGCTTATTAGCTCCAGGAGAGTTTTTTGGGGGTCAGTTCTTTGGGATTTTCTACATAGAAAATCATGTCAGCTGCAAACAGAAACAGTTTTATTTCTTCCTTCCTAATCTATATACTTTTTATTTCACTTTTCTTATTTCATTAGCTAGGACATCCGGGTCGATGTTGAAAAGGAGTGGTGAAAGGGACATCTTTGCCTTGTTCCGCATCTTAATTGGGAAGTTTCTAGTTTCTCGCCGTTAAGTCTGATGTTAGCTTTAGGGGTTTTGTAGATATTCAATATCGAGTTGAGGAAGTTCCCCTCTATTCCTAATTTGCCAGGAGTTCTTTTTTTTTTTTCCATCATCCACCTTCTATCATCATGTGATTTTTCTTCTTTAGCCTGTTGATGTGATGGATTACATTAATTGGTTTTCAAATGTCCAGCCAGCCTCGCATACCTGGGGTAAATCCCACTTGGCTGTGGTGTAGAATTCTTTTCACACATTATTGCAATGCTTGCTAATGTTTTGTTGAGGATTTTGCATCTATGTTCACGAGAGAGATTGGGCTGCAGCTTTCCTTCTAGTATCTTTGTCTGGTTTTGGTGTTAGAAAATGAGTTAGGAAGTCTTCCCTCTGCTTCTGTTTTCTGGAAGAGATTGTAGAGAACTGGTATCACATTTTCCTTAACGGTTTGATGGAATTCACCAGTGAACCCATCTGGGCCTGGTGCTTTCTGTTTTTGAAAGTTATTAGTTATTGATTCAAATTCTTTAATGGGCCTATTTATATTGTTTATTTCTGGGGCCTGCCCAGTGGTGCAGCGGTTAAGTTCACATGTTCCGCTTCAGCAGCCCAGGGTTTACCGGTTTGGATCCCAGGTGCGGACATGGCACTGCTCAGCAAGCCATGCTGTGGCAGGCGTCCCACGTATAAAGTAGAGGAAGATGGGCATGGATGTTAGCTCAAGGCCGGTCTTCCTCAGCAAGAAGAGGAGGATTGGCAGCAGATGTTAGCTAAGGGCTAATGTTCCTCAAAAAAATTTTTTTTAAAAAATAGATTGTTTATTTCTCCTTGTGTGAGTTTTGGCAGATTGTGTCTTCCAAGCACTTAGTCCATTTCATCTAAAGTATCAAATTTGTGGACATAATTGTTCATACTATTCCTTCATTGCCCTTTTAATATCTGTGAGATCATAGTGACGGTCTCTCTTTCATTTCTGGTTTTAGTACTTTGTATCTTTTCTGTTTTTTTTCTTGGTTAGCCTGCTAGAGGTTTGTCAGTTTTATGATCTTGTTAAAGAACCAGCTCTTGGTTTCATTGACTTTTCTCTATTGTTTTCCTGTTTTTTATTTCGTTTATTTCTATTCCAATTCTTGTGTCTTTTCTTCTGCTTGTTTTAGGCTTCCATTGCTCTTCTTTCTCTAGTTTCCTAAGGTGGAATCTTAGATTATTGATTTTAGGTCTTTCTTTTTTTCTAGTGTAGGCATTCAATGCTATAAATTTCCCACCAAGCACTGCTTTTTCTGCATTCCACAAATGTTCCTAAGTTCTATTTTCATTTAGTTCAAGATAGGTTTTCATTTCTCTTGAGACTTCTTCCTTGGCCCATATGCTATTTAGAAGTATGTTCTTTAATCTCCAAATATTTGGGAATTTTTCAGCTGCTATTGATTTCTAGTTTAATTCCATCATGGCCTGAAAGCATACTTTACATAATTTCTATGTTTGGGGGCTCTGAATGTGGTCTGTCTTGGTGACTGTTCCATGTGAGCTTGAGAAGAATGTGTGTTTTGTTGTTCCATGAAGCAGTGTGTAGATGTCGATTAGATCTGGTTGGTTAATGGTGCTGTTCAGTTCAACTTTATCCTTACTGATTTTCTGCCTGCTGGGTCTGACTGTTACCGTTAGAGGGATGCTGACGTCTCCAGCTGTCATAGTGAATTTGTCTATTTCTCTTTGCAGTTCTGTTAGTTTTTGCCTCACGTATTTGGATGTTCTATTGTTAGGTGCCTACGCATTACAGATTGTTACATCTTCTTGGAGAATTGACCCCTTTGTCATTAGGTAATGCCTTTCTTTGTCCTTGGTAACTTTCCCTCCTCTTAATTCTGCTCTATCTGACATTAATACATCTACTCCTGCTTTCTTTCTGTGTTTCAATATTTTGAGTGCTAAAGAGTTTGGTAGAAATTCGCAAAGTGGGTAAGAGCACAGAGCTTTGAATTAGGCAAAACCTGGGTACCAGACTAGTCCTGCTGGGTGCCTTTGGACACATTTAATCATTCTACGCCTCACTCTCCTCATCTACAAAATGGGGAACTATCCTTTGGGTTATTGTGAAGATGAAATGGGATAATGCAATAAAGCACTTAGCAAATTTCCTGACTTGTAATGTTTAACATATTCTACTAATATAAGCAATTATATTAATTAATATAAGCTATTATTGTATTGTATTATTAATAGAAGCTATTGGTGATTATTATACTGTGGGACTTCCGTGTAGATTCTAAATGCAAGCCCTCTTGGTATGACAGTTGGATGAGGCACTCTGAGAAGATAACTTAGAAAATAATTGTGAAGTCTCAGGCTGGAGTGGATGTCTCACAGGCAGTGTTCTGAAAAGACAGACGACATCCCGTGTGCCTGCAGCACCCAGCCCGGGCCCCACGGCTGAGGGAATGTGCTATTTCCTCCAGAGGGCTGAGTTTTGCTTGCTGTTTTTATTAAATAGAAATTACAGAGTAGCCTTCTGCTCCCTCCCCCCAACTCCCAACTCACTGTCTGGGGTCCCTTTCTTTTGGGAAACATGGTCACACCAGGCCTCCTGTTGAAAAGTAGATCATCTTTGGTTAGATAAATTCTGACTAGCTTTTAAGAAGCAACAGGAATAACTAATCACATAAGAAAACCTTCATTGTGCATCAAAGTTTTTAAAGGTAGTTATGAAACTACGTTCTGTGGAATGATCTCAATTTTGTTTAAACTTTTTAAAAAGATTGTAAGCACAGAAAAAAGACTAGAAGGATGTGACCCACACTGTTAACAGTGCCTGTCTCTGGGGCATGGGATCCTAAGTGATTTTAATGTTGTCTTTGTGCTTTTCTCTAGTTCTCATTTTCTCCAATATTAAGAAAAACATGTTATTTTAAAAATGGAGAGAACAAACAAATGAATACAACAGTCGTTACAATCCTCCCCTCAACTGTGTGTACCCCATCCATGGACCTGGCATTTTCCTTGCAGAAAAATCGACAGTTGTCACTTGCCAATCAACCTTTCTCGTTTGTGTTTGGGCCATTTCTGTCTTCTGTCCTGGCGTAAGGGACAACCACAGGCGCACCTGCGTGGGGTCAGGGAAATAGAACTAGAAAGTGGCCAATCCCCTGGCTGAGCACGTGCCCATGCAGAACCCCAGGCTCCCTTGGCCTCTGTGTAGGCTGATTCCCCGCCCAACCACTTGGGCACCTGTCCTGGGTTTGGAGTCAGACGGAGCACAAAGCCCAGCCCCACCACGCACTAGCTGTGTGGCCCTGGGCAAGTCACTTACCCTCCCTGACCCTCAGCATCCTCCTTTTAAAATGAGGATTGTGGTGACCATCGGGTAAGATGTGGGAGGTAACGGGCTTAGCACATTATGGCGACCAATGCTCCCTAGTAAATGTTAGGGCCCCGTCATGATGCTTGTTTTCATGCCACGACTGACCTCCTCATGCATTTCAGTCTCCTGACATTGACAACCATCACGCGCTCATTGAATATAATGAAGCCGAGGGCAGCTTTGTGCTCCAAGACTTCAACTCCCGCAACGGCACCTTCGTCAACGAGTGCCACATTCAGAACGTGGCCGTGAAGCTGTTACCCGGAGACATCCTGAGGTTCGGGTCCGGAGGGCTCACCTACGAACTGGTCATCGAAAACCCACCCTCGGTGAGTCCAGGCCCCCGCGGGGTAGGGGGGGCTACAGGTGCTGTGCTGTGCTGTGTCGCCTCCGTGCAGCCCAGGGCTCAGAGACAGCCAAAGGTGAGCCTCGTGCGGAGCGCGTCGCGCCGATTCCACGCTGCGCACACGAGCGGCGGCCGCGGGACTCGATTCTGCGAAGTTCGGACCCATACGGGTGGGTCCCGGGGACGAGCGGGTCCTTGCGCCCTCTTCTGGGCTTTTCTTGGAGTTACATGCAAGAGTTGCCAACACGAACGAACGACTAGAGCGTTTTCCTGAAAACGTGAAGCTTGGCGATGGGGGTGGAAAGGTGTGCGCTTTTGGAAAGTCGGAGATAGATGCTTCCTTGTTAGGCAGACCAGCGCTCTGCAGCTTCCTAGCTTTGTGCCCTCGGCCAGGGTTCTTGGATGCCTGGGTCTCGGTCCCAGGACGGTGCGAGGCATTGAGTGTGTGTGTGTGAGGCATCCGAGTCAGTGTCCAGCCCGAGCCGACTGTCAGCACGCAGCAGCTGTTGTTACGCCCTGGATCAGAAATGTCGCTGGGATCACGGCCTAAAGTATGGCCCCCGTTTAAGCCGCACGTAACATAAAACTTGCCTGTAAAAGCTCAGCCACGAGAACATCCTCTTCACCAGGGAGGCAGGATAGGCGAGTGGTTGGCGACACAGGCTTTGCTCAGAATCCCAGCTCTGCCCCTTGCTTACTCTGTGTGCTCCTGAGCAAGCCACTGGACTCTTTAGAACCTCAGTTTCCTCATCTACAAAATGGGGCCAAAGACAGCAGTGACCTTGCAGGCTTGTCTCGAGGGCTGGATGAGATGATTATAATTGGAAAACTCCCGGCACAGTGCCATTCATGGTGAGCACACAATTGATGTCTGTCATATGTGTCCCGGAGCGATGGTGTGTTCATCTCACTCCCCACCAGCAAGAACGCTGCATGGACTGAGACCCCCGAGGCTTAAAATCCTTTCTGGGACAAGGCTGAGTGTAAATAAATAAAATGTAGAGGATCTAGACAGAATCCTGGGGTTCACGGCCCACAGGCAGCTCTAAATATGCATTCCAACGAGCTCGTCCGCATCCCCGGGCCACAGGGCCTTCATGCCACATCCATCACATTTGGCTTTAAGAATCTGGGGCAGGTTTCTTTGCTGCTGTTCAGCTGCGTTTTCCTCCTTGGGCCAACATTAAAGTGTGTTTGCTCTTGGATGCTCCGGGGTCCACCGGCAGCAGCGAGGAGGGGCTCCTGGCCTGGCGTTGACCTGATCAAGGGTTCCTTTTTTTTATTAAAGATTGGCACCTGGGCTAACAACTGTTGCCAATCTTTTTTTTTTTTTTCTGCTTTATCTCCCCAACACCCCCGTACACAGTTGTATATCTTAGTTGCAGGTCCTTCTAGTTGTGGGATGTGGGACGCTGCCTCAACGTGGCCTGACGAGCGGTGCCATGTCCATGCCCAGGATCTGAACCCTGGGCCGCCGCAGCAGAGCGCACGAACTTAACCACTCGGGCACGGAGCCGGCCCCTGATCATGGGTTCTTCAGACAGGTTCTAAGGGTCCTCCACGTTGGAACCACGTGAGGAGCAGACCAACAACGCAGATCCATGGGACTCACCCCGTGCCCGAGGACTCATACTTAGAGTTGCTGGATAAAATACAATACACCCAGTTAAATTTGAACTTCAGGTAAATACCAAATCATTTTTCAGTATAAGTATGTCTCAAATATTGCAAAGGACCACTTATGCTAAAAAAAAAATTATTTGGTGTTTGTCTGAAATTCAGATTTATTTACATATTTATTTATTCACTTATTTATTTATGCCAAATCTGTCAACCCTACAAGTACTCGGAATGGGGCCTGGGAACATGCATTCTCAAGGCTCCCTGGGGATTCTGATGCACCCCAAGAGTAGGGAAACCCACATTTAGAATCATTTATATGGAGCATTTGCAGATTTTTTTAGGAACCACCAAAAAAAATGGAATGTCAAACCCCAAGACTATAAATCCGAGTTTGTGAAGTTTGAGTCAATGTTTCTCTAACATCTCTGATTGCAAGAATTTTTCTGGAATGTTCAATAAAATTACAGGTTCCCAGCCTCCCTCCCTGGGAAATTCTGATTTTGTGGCTTGACAGTCCCAGGGTGGGGAATAATATCTGCATTTTTTTCTTTTTATACAAAGATATTTATTGAAATATTATTTATAGGGGCATAAAATTTGATACCTAAATATTCAGCAAGAGGGGGCATTGTTTAATAAAATACAAGGACTTCCTTCATATGTGGAATGCTATGCTGCTTTTTTTTAAAAAAGCTTTATTAAGATGTAATTGACGTGCAATAAACTGCACATGTTTGAAGTATCTAGTTGGATAGGTTTTGGCATATGTATGCACCTGTGAAACCATCGCCACAATCAAGACAGTGAACATCTCCATCGTCCCAGAAGTTTCCTCATCGACACGGCAGTTGTCTCCTTGCTTGCTTTACGCAGCTCCTTTGAAGTACAATTTAAGTCGCATAAACTTCACCTATTTTAAATGTACAATTCTGTCCACTTGAGTATATTTACAGTTATGCAGCCATCACCACAGCCTACTTTCAGAACATTTCCATCCATTCTCATCACCCTAAAAAGAAACTTGGGAGGTACTTAGTTCTTTTATTTGTTTGTTTTTAATTTTTAATTCTTGAAATTGTGGTAAAATACACGTAAAATTTATCATCTTAACCATTTTTAAGTGTGCAGTTCAGTGGCCTTAAATACATTCACGTTGTCGTGCCACCATCTCCTGAACGTTTTTCATCTTCCCAGAAGGAAACTGTGCCCATTGAATAAAATTCCCTCTTCCGTCCTCCCCCGGCCACCGTTCTTTCTGTCTCGGTGAATCTGACCGCTCCAGGTGCCTCAGATAAGTGGGGTCTTACAGTGTTTGTCCCTTTGTGACCATCTTATTTCACTTAGTCTAATGTCCTCAAGCTTCATCGTGTTGTAGCACGTGTCAGAATTTCCTTCCTTTTTAGAGCTGAGTAATTCTCCACTGTGTGTGTCTATCGCATTTTGTTTCTCTCGTCATTGGTCAAATGGCTTGAGTTGCTTCCACCTTTTGGCGATTGTGAATAAGGTTTGTTAGGAACATGAGCGCGCAGACGTGGAAGAGCTGCTTCATTTTAAGAGGTGGTGCTTACATCAGATAAATGTGGGAAACAGTGATGAAGATCTCTGACCTTGACCAGAGAAGGAAGAGGATGCTTTGTCAAAAGAGAAACCGGTAGAGTACAGGAAGGGTCACTGACACTGATGATGCTATGCTGAGCGATTCCCCTGCTTTCCCTTATTTAACGCTTACAACAGCTTATGAGGCAGGAGCTCTCTTAATCCCCGTTTTGCAGACAAGGAATCCAAAACTCAGAGAGACTGAGTAATTTCCCCAGGGTCACACAGCTAGTTGATGAGCATTAAACTCTATCCCCACCGGCAGATAACTGAGGGAAGAAAACCATTGAGTCTGATGCTAGAGGTAGAGCTGAGCAGTATCACCGACTGGTTTTCAAATAGAGCAAATCACACTTTTATGGTCACTTGGATATACACATATTTTTTAAACTCCTTTCTATATGCACTTGCGTCCCGCTTCGTTCTCTGAGTGACTGCAGGCAGCTGCGTGGATGTTCCCCCACGCCCCGGGCACTTCACAGCAGCCTGAGCCTTTCCAGGAGCCACTTTCCCCGGCAGGACTCCCCCCTCACACACACACAAGTACTCTCTCCTCCAGTGTTTGGGGGACCCTTGTGCCAGCGTCCTCCAGGCTCTTACTAATGGAGGGGCTGTGCTGGGCCTGAGCGAGGGCAGCCTCGTGGACCGAGTAACACATTCCTACAAATGCCACTTCCTGATGACCCAGACCTGCAGGCTATTTAAGAAAGAAAGGAAGAAAAAACGAAAGAGGAAGCCTTGAAGAGCATCTGTCATCAAATATTTTGAGGCCCAGATTGTCTAAGAAATTTGTGGCTGTCTGGATTCCTGCCTGCTCTTGTTTCTCATTGATTTCTTGGGCCCCAGACGAGGACGCTGTGTTTCCTCCTGGAATGGAGTTTCCAGGGAGGGCGGTCCTGATGTCATAGGGGTTGGCTGTGATCGGAACTGTTCTTTTCCTGACCAAGAATCCCCAAATGGAAACATCTGTTTCAGGCTTTGTGGTGAGCACAACCGATTGAGGGTGATGTGACAGCGTTTTATTGGGGGAGGGGGCGTCGGGGAGCAGTTAGGGAACTCAGTGTGTTTGCAGATCTCGGGGAGCAGTTAGGGAACTCAGTGCGTTTGCAGATCTCGGGGAGCAGTTAGGGAACTCAGTGCGTTTGCAGATCTCGGGGAGCAGTTAGGGAACTCAGTGCGTTTGCAGATCTCGGGGAGCAGTTAGGGAACTCAGTGCGTTTGCAGATCTCGGGGAGCAGTTAGGGAACTCTGTGCGTTTGCAGATCTCGGGGAGCAGTTAGGGAACTCTGTGCGTTTGCAGATCTCGGGGAGCAGTTAGGGAACTCAGTGCGTTTGCAGATCTCGGGGAGCAGTTAGGGAACTCAGTGCGTTTGCAGATCTCGGGGAGCAGTTAGGGAACTCAGTGCGTTTGCAGATCTCGGGGAGCAGTTAGGGAACTCAGTGCGTTTGCAGATCTCGGGGAGCAGTTAGGGAACTCAGTGCGTTTGCAGATCTCGGGGAGCAGTTAGGGAACTCAGTGCGTTTGCAGATCTCGGGGAGCAGTTAGGGAACTCAGTGCGTTTGCAGATCTCGGGGAGCAGTTAGGGAACTCAGTGCGTTTGCAGATCTCGGGGAGCAGTTAGGGAACTCAGTGCGTTTGCAGATCTCGGGGAGCAGTTAGGGAACTCAGTGTGTTTGCAGATCTCACAGTGGTTAGAGCGTCGTCCTGAAGTCGGGTGAGCCGAGCGCAGTCCCACCCCTGCTCTTGTGCCAGCCGTGGGATCG